CAATACTAATCTCCACTGCCACAAACTTCTCTCCAAATTTCCCATCCACCTCTCTCTTTGCCCTAGATCTCACCCTTTATTCCTCCTTCCTTCCTTTTTTCCTTCTTTTTTCCTCTTTAATTTTCCTTTTCCCTCCTTCTTTCTTTCCTCCCTTTCTTTCCTTCCTTTTTTCCCACCTTCCTTCCTCTCTTTTCTCTTTCTCTCCTCCCTCCTTCCTTTCCCTAAGGGTCAAATTTAATAATCACTCTCACAGAAAAAATTCTGGATATATTTTTCTGTTCACTTCACAGATTATGTAAAAAACCCCTGCTAATCCTTGTCAAAACAATTTTGTTTCAGAGCAATTTTACGTAAACATGATGAAATAGAAAAAGCATTTCTTAACCAGATTTTTTGCATAAATTATAAATCATCCACTATTATTGATTCACAATTCTATAAAATAAGCTTTGAACTTCATGTATGTTTTACTTTTAAAGGCTTAATTTGCATATTTCACATCTCTATTCCCCTAAAAGATAATGGTATATTTTGAACTCTCTAAAATTAAGCAGTAGAGTTGTTCAATTTTTAAAATGGCTACATTTTAAAATCTTTTTAAAAGTTAAAGTTGTAATTTTAACTTCTACTTTTTTTGCTTAACATAATTTGCTTAGTAAAAATTACTTCTATTTCAAAATGGAAACAGTCCCCATTTTCTAAAATAAGAATTTAATTAAACAACTTATGCTAAAGGAGAACAGAAGTGTTTTTTTTTTTTTTTTACCAAATATGTGATATTTGAATTCAAAATCTTGAGCTATGAAAAAGCTAGCTTATTCAAATAGCATGTCCTTATACCTTTTCTGGGGCCAATATTTCAATTATTGGATGTCTAAAGTTTGATCTGAAACTCATAAATTTAAAATTAATTCTGCTTTGAGTCATAAATGTCTTATTGCATCATCTTACCTAATTTCTGATGCTTTGCAGTTACAATTATAATCCCTAAATTCCAATCCCCATTAAATATGGAGCTTCCTTATCACATTTCATTCACATTATCCATCAAGCAATCTACATTTATTGAGAACAAATTATTGTATGTATAAAAGTCAAACAAACATATTTGGTATATTGTTGTATAAATGGTCATTATTTCAGCTCTCTGTGGTGTAAAATTGAGGTAGATGAACCTGCTGCTTAGATCATGATAATCACCTTTTTCAGATGTCCTTTATTTGCTCTGTCCTCTGTCCCATTCTACATGTTCTTGCCTGAATTCAGTGGACATTTACCGTTTATGGCTCAGAATCATTTCCATCTTCTATTGTCAACAGACCCCAATTTCTTCGGGAGGAATTACCTCTCCCTAACTGTGAGAGACTTTGGGAGGACAGAGCTTTAAGTCAAAGTCCTGTGCTCTCTCCCCAAGCAATGTCAACTGGACTCACTTTAAGGACTTTAAATTTTGAACAGAATTACACAGGATGAAGAAAAGAGAATATCACAAATAGGCTTGAGTAATTCCTGCTAACCATGTGCCTTGGCATGCTCAGATCCCTTTTCATTTTCTAAGCTTTGTTCCATTGCTTTCATGCTGATTCCAGTAAATTTACTTTCTGCTTGATTTAATCAGAGAATGATTTCTGTTGATTGCATCCAAAGAACCCTAACTGACTGGCAACTAAACTACATTTGATAATTTTATTTTCCTATTTAAAGTCCTTTAAGAGTTGTCACTGCCTGCAGGCCATCATCAAAACTCCTCAGTCTGGCAAGGAGGGATTCCTATTATTTAGCCCCACTCCTCTCTTTTCAGTTCCATCAATTTCTTCCTCATCACATACCCTTAACTTCAGCCATGTGTAATCACAATTCCCATAACATACTCTATTGTTTCCCATCTCAGTAGGAATCCCTTGGCCTGGATTGCCCATCTCGTTTTATCTGGCTGGTTAATTCTAACTCATTCTTTAACGCTTGGCTTAAATTTTATCTTCTTCGGGAAGCTCTTTCTAGCAACTGTTCTCTTTCCTGGCTTAATTTTCCTTGAAGTAAGTCCCTACAGCATCACTCAAACATGCTCAGGAAAGTGGAAAACCATGAGGTTTAAGGGTGGGGACTGTAGAACCAGAATGCTTGAGTTCGAATCCTATCACTATCCTTCCTCCTTGACCTTGGACAAGTTATTTAACTTCACTGTACCTCAGGGTCTATCACAGTGTTGCAAATGTTAAATAATACACAGAAAGTTCTTAGATCAATTAACTGGCATATCATTAGTGCTAAATATGTGTTAGCTATTATGCTAAAAAATTATGTCTACCATAGTGTAATTATTGCTTTTATTTTTCTTCAACCTCTTTCACTTGTGCATTCTTGTTTTATCCAACTCTATATTTCCCAGGCATTCAGTAGATCAATAAATGTTTGTTAAAATAGTAAATGAATACATAGATAGTAGTAGAGTTTTTTAGTTGATAAAGTTCTTTTGAAATTTTACCCAATTTATCACACATCAAACATTAAAGTTGTGACTGTTTTACTTGAAACTTTACATAAAATTAATATTTCCTGAAATTATAGTAAAATACTCTTCTAACTTACCTGTCCTTCTTGTCACCCCCCCCCCCACACACACACACTTGTTTAAATATTACTGGGGACCATTTTACTATTTGGTGATTGAAGCTATAAAAGACAAGAAATGATGATGTCTTTATAAATCATTTTTTAATATTAGGGGAAGAAGCAGACAAAATATCCCCACTGTTTAGCAAGAGAAAGGAGGCTGGATTTTATACCTATATAAAATATATATAATATGTATTTTTATATATTAAATTATATTTTATATTAACATATATTATATATACATATATATAAAATTTTTAAGTCCTGACTCTGTTACCCCAGAAATGGCTCTTGAATTTTTTCTCCAAATTAATTATAGACTTATATTTAAAGACTATCTCTGTGAAAGGGCATCAAATTAGTAGTCCTTTCTGAAAAGAACAAATTTATTTGGAGCACTCTGAAGACTATTGAGCACATCAATTGCTTCCCCAAATAGGGTTCATCACAAGGAAGTGTGGACTTTCCCTTTCACTCTAATATCAAGTGACTTTGGCAGGTGGCTATAATGTCAATGGCAGAAAAGGGTACAGATATGGAAACAAGCTCTCATTTTCATACATTATTATTATGTGATATACAGTTTACATGATACAAAAGCTATGAGTGGGCAGATTTCCATAATTTCCTGGGGAACCTAATATTAATTACTGGCATTTTTCAATACCCATACCAAGCATGCCAAGGCGGGAAACATTTTTCATGTACTACTCAATTTAATCCCCATAACGACCTGCAAGGCAGATAGTATAACTATCCACATTTTATAGATAGGCTCAGGTAGGTTGGATAACTTACTCAAGGTCACACAGCTGTGGTAGTTGAGCTTTGAACCCAGAAAATCTAACTCCAAAGCCCATGCTTTCAACAGCATAACATATTGTTTCCTCTGGTAAATAATTATCCTGGAAGTATTGGTATAACTCAATATGATATTGTGAAGAAATTTACCCTTGTTTCTGTATGTATCAGTACACTGCAATTGTAAAATACTCAGCATAGTGTCTGACATAGACTTTATATACAAATACATATACCTCACTAAATGGTAACTACAATTACAGTTATTACTTGCAGGCAGTAGAGAATGTAGTAAGAAAGAACATAGGCTTAGGAATCAAACAGACTTGGATATGAATCCTTGCCCTGTTGCTTACTGGAAGTGTGACATCTATGCGCCTCAGTTGCTTTTGGCTACAAACACTTGTTATAAAGTAGTAGTTAAATAAATATTTGTATACATATATATTTATATATATATATATACATACACACACATATATATATTTACATGTCTTTATACACACACATATCCATAATATATGATAAATGTGAATGTGTAGTCTATATGCTCTGTATTCAAAACAAGAAACCAAGATCCAGAGAATGACTTGACCATAACCATGTCATTTGCAAATGACAAAGAAATCAGATCTTCTGAGTTCAAGCTCAAAGGATGTTAATTCAGGTTATTCACTATCAAATTGTATTTATTCCTGTTGAATTGCTGAAGTTCATTTTAAAAAGAAGTTTCACTTAATCTGTCTGCCTCTCTTGCTCTTTCAAAAAGTAGTTCTGTAACACCTCAATACCTTCAGCACAGTTTTCTAACTCTTTCAGAATAGCTTGAAAGTGAAACTATCCTGTATAAAACTTTCAAAATTATTTTTCTTATCCATTCAGAAATTTAAAAGATACATAGTATATTTGTTCTAGCTTATAAACCACATTTATATCAATGTATTCTTATTTCTAGTTGATGTCATACTTTGAACAAATGGATTCCAATGAAGTTGAGAAATGCAATATTTGTATTAAAAACATGTTTATTTGAATATGGCATTGCACAAATGCCAATATTAAGATCTGGAGTATTTTTGAATATGTTTGTTATTTTTCTCTTTTTTATTTATAGCTAACTTTCAATTATCCTTATCATTGGAGGAGGAAAATTGGCACAGACAACTCAGAAGAGTAGATAATCACCAATTCACAGATTATTATATTTGATTCTGCAATGTGTTATGGCTGCAAAGTGCCAAAACAAACAGTTTAAATGTAAATAGCTCAATTGAGCTACTTGTTTGGTATAAAATGGATTTTTTAAATACCAGTCGTTTAGTGAATTTAACTAAGCCAACTATACTTGTAAGGTTTGTGATTATTTTCTTTTTATTTTTCATTTTAAATTTATGACTACTTTAGGTAATTGCATTAATTCATATCGTTGATCATACTTAGGCTGAATAGAGTAGAGAGAGTAGTAGTGTTTTTGCTGACAGAGAAAAGCTGGTGGAAAATAGTCAAGAGAGTAAAGTGACTTGTGGAAAATCATCACTTTAAAGAAAAGCCTCTACCAACTGTTATCTCTTTTTTCCCCATACCTTCTGCTTGATGATCATCTCGTTGATATCTTCAAGGTCACCCACCATCACTCTCTGTGATTTTATGACTCGATCAAGCAGAGAAAGCCAGTCGGTAAGGTCTATCCAAGCCCGGTTGAAATCTGCCAGAGCTGGTACCTCCAACAGCAAGGAAGATGGCATTTCTAGTTTGGTGATGGCAGTTTCCTTGGCAACCACAGGTTGTGTCACCAGAGTAACAGTCTGACTAGGAGCTAAAATATTTTGATATGTTTTTGCAAAAGGAAAAAAGAAAAAAGAGAAAAGTTAGAAACACAAATTAAATAGCCACTTTCAATACCAATAAATCAACTATAATTGAAGGGTAACAATTTGAGCCAAACTCTTACTTATGACATTATATGTCTTTTTCTAATAATATGAATACTTCATTTAGTAATATAACACTAAAATTTTTCATTCATACACATTTAACAATCTTTCAAAATGATTTTGCTTGTTCTCATACCTGGATAAATAATTTAAGAAAACCTTCTCAATAACAATTATATAAATTATGGAATTGCTAAAGAAAACAAAAGTATTCAGAATTTGCCAGGTGAATAAATTTTACTGATTTTTTTATTCAAGGAAAAAAGAGGCAAAACTAAAGATTTGATATGATCTTATTTCTACCTTAGATTTCCTTGAATAGTTAGTAAATTACTTTGGAGGTGGACCCTAAGGAAATCAAAGTCAATGTTCTTGTCTTAGCTCTGTGTTTTGTACTGGGAGTAGTTTATTATATTTTTTCCCTTTTCTTTCAGATTGATAATAAAGTGGCTAGCAGTGAAAAAAAAGGTACAATATTTTTGGAAAATGAGAGCTAATAATGTTTTCCTATTTTGACATATAACACTGTTTCGAGTCTTTAAATAAATCTTAAATTAATATTGTTGAACACCATAGTATAAGATAATACATGGTAATAGTGAAGATCCAAGGTTCTGGAATAAAAATGACTGGAAGAGAATCCTGCTCTCTGCCTTAGGAACTCTGAGACCTCAGGTAAGTTACTTAACCTCTCTAAGTTTCAGTTTTTCTTCTCAGCAAAAGAATAATAATAATAGTGGAAATGTCATAGGGGCAGCTGTGTGGATTCAATGACTAATACAAGCAGTGTACATATAAAAATGCCATAAAAAGTAACATCATTATCATAACAATATTAGCATAGTGCCTGACACTAGTACGTAATTAATAATGTTAGATATTACTGTTTTTATAAACATCTGACTAATAAGGAACACAGTGATGAACAAATGGTGACAAGTTGAAGATAAAGCCTGGAAATGAGAAACACTTGATGGAAAAAAAAGTTAGTCAAAGGTCTGTGTGTGACCCTATGTTGATTGAAAAGGGCCATATTTGCTGGTATGAAATGATGCTAAATACCAACACACAGCTGGGTTATTGAAGGTGAGTGGTGAGGGGAAGGAATACCAAATCAAGTTTATAAACAATGGCCTCAGAAATATAATATAACCAGGAGACTGGTGGCAAAGAAATACTGGACTATGTAACTCAGAAGGAAAGGCTTCAGGGAAAGCTACAAAAGACATCTCACTTGGAGACTTTGGAGGCATGGACAACAAGGAAATGCTTCTACAAACATGGAAAAAATGTGCCACCTTGGATTTTCATTCATAGGTGATCATTCATTAATTTTCATGGCTATATTACTGTTTGTACTTTTAAGGTTGTCTTCTCATTAGAGAAGAAAATGAGTGGGATGAAGGAATGTTTCCCATCTCTCAAGCTTCTCAGGGACACTAAGAGCTTCCTATGGATGGAACTAATCTTGAACAAAGCAGAAAGAAAAAAGTGCTTAAGGTGTCAGATAGAATAAAAAACTAAGGCCAAAAAGTAATGATTGAAAGATAGTAATAGTGAGGAGATGAAGAAGATTTTTTTTTTTTCTTTAAAGAAAGCTCTCACTACTCTTAGGCTCTTTCAAGATATAATGAAACATAATGTAAAGCACGGATAGCACCTTGTGATCCACAGCTCTGCAGAAGGAAGCATGGAAGCAAATATGATCTAGAAATCTTAATATGGATTCTAGGAGTGGAGCTGAATCCCCAGATAGGATGCATGGGTGAGGATGAAAAAAGAGCTAAATGAAAATATCACTGTGGGAGCTAACTTCAAAACACGAGGTTGACTGGAAAATGTGGAAATATTCTTGTTAAAATAGATACACAGTGGATACTGAGGCAATGTATAGCAGTTTGGGATGATTTCAAGGTATGAAAAGTGTCAGACACTGCTTTTTTTAAAAATTTGACTTATTAAAAATTTGACCCTCAAATGAAAGCAGAAACAGATTTTTTTTTCCTCTAGACTTACTTCTGACCAACAAAGAAGTACTTAATGAAGTAGAAATGGTCATGTTATCCTAAATTTCAATATAGTGAAGTGTGAAAATGTAGACAATTATTAGACTTCAATAAGCAGACCACTGTTTTCTGGAAAGCACATTTGAGGAAGGAAGGAAGGGAGGTAGGGAGGGAGGGATGGAGGGAATTTACTGAAAACAAAGGCCAGGGCCTGAGACTCAAAAATGGAGAATAGTTTAAGATGACAAAAGGTACAAATATGACATTGGGATGATGATATCACGAAATTCCCTACTGAGGAAAAACGAAGAAGTATCTCCAAATATAAAACAGGAAGAAAGAAAAATTAGCTGAATCATATTCATTTGAGGGTGGAGAGGTTGAGCTATGCAGCCATCTGTGCACCAGTCATGGGCAGATGATCTTATCTATAGACCTATTAGGCCATTCATTTCTGGTTTCCTCTTCTCCAGGATTTACCATCTAAAGAATATCTCTACATTGGTGGGAAAGGGAAGGGAAATCATATCTTGGTCATCGCTCTATCCCTTGCATCTTGCACAGGTCCTGAAATATAGTAGGTGCTCAATTGATTGCCTTCTGAATAAATGAATGAAACTTAAGAAGAAAGTCTATGTACAATAGGCTTTTTAGTAAACTTAGAGGTCTTCTATTCACAAGGAGTTCTGAAAGTTAACAATTACCTACAAGAATGTTTTCTTGAAGATTAGAACACAAAATATGCATAGACTCTTACTATTTAGCTGATTTTAGCTATTTTCCAAAGAACATAGTGGAGGAAGAGCCACTGCTTGGAGCAGACAATGGAAAGTCAAATATTAAAGAGAGAAAATACAACTAGTCAATTCTTTTGTTTTCTCCACAACACATACACATACACTTTCCCGTCAGAGGGGAAAAAGCAGGAAAGAACACTGAATCAGGATGCAGAGTATAAAATAGACTTTCTGGGGCCAGATTGTTGAATTTCAATCCTTGCTCTGCCATTTCTTAGTTGTGTAACCTCAGGCAGGTTACTTAATGTCTTTGAATCTTCATTTACTCCTCTGTAAAATGGTGATTATAGTAGTATTTCCTTCATAGATCGTCAACCTTACTGCTTCCTAGATATATTATATAACCGTGGACTAATAATCTACCCTGAGATTGCTGGCAACTTGAGGTAAGGGATTTTACTACGCTTGCTAAACTGTACATCTCTGAGCATCAAGTCTTCACCTGTGTAACTGGGACAACAGTTCCAATCTTATTGTTCTAGGGAGTTTATGACATGATATTAAATAGCCGCCTAGTATTGTTCTGACAGTAGGTAGACAGAGGGGTTTTTGTTCCTATTCCTTTTTCCTTTGTTGTTCACCCAGTGGTTGTTGGCTCCTCATTTTCTATATTAGTATGGCATCCTAGGCTCTGTACTCTGATAGAGACTTCACACTCCTGCCCCATCTCCTTCCTTTCTCCTCAGGTTCCCCCACACCTCAGTCTCTATTCTGCATTCTCTAGTTAGCACAAGTCACTTCACACTCTTGTGTTCTTTTATATGCTTTCTATACTTCTTGAAAACTTTTCCCTCTCGTCTCTAGACAAAAATCCCATTTTCTCTTCAAATCTCAATTCTAGATTTCTGTGCTTTTTAGAGGGCCAGGATAAGTGTATAACTAAAATATCTCCATGAGAAACAGAATTATACCATGATTTTGGGTCCTAAACAGTTTTTAGTTAAAATACTTTTATGTTTTCTTATTTAAATTGAATTATCACCAGGAAGAACAAAATCTTATACCATTATTAGGTATTTTTGTTTGTTTTTATTTGTTTTTGTTTTTGTCATTGTTGTTTTGATATGTGTTTAGAAGGTAGCCAATAAGAATTGAGAGCTGGGTCCTAAAGTCAGAAACTTTGGGTCTCAAGGAGTATACTTTATAACATAAAGTAGAAAGAGGATAATCTTCATCTATCTCGCACATTTTATTAGGGCCAATTCTGTTCAGAACAGTATTACTTAAAATACTTTATTTTTCCTAAAAATATTTGCTTCTAGATTCACATATGTTTGTGTATGTGTATATGTATATATATATATGTATATTTTTCATATTTCTAAGCATAGTATTTCAAAGGAGAAGATTTGAGATCTTGAAAATATGTATCTTATTATGTATATCATATTGGCTTACATTGCATTTTCAGATGTCTTTACTTTTATCTTAAAAAATGAGGTTCTTTCATTTCCACTGTGTCATGATACTAGAAATACATGCCAATCACTGCATTAGGTAAAGTGTAGGCTGGTCAGATCTTAAAGGGGAAGTTCCAGTGGTTTTGTACAGTGTGAGAAACAGATTATTGACTCTAAGGGTCAGGCAAGGCTATATAGTTATTCCTAGATAGTTTTCTGTTGACTTAATATTTTAAAGATTGAAAGATGATTTACTGAGAGTGTCTGAACCCATAAACTTGATTGGGTAAAGGGGTTCAGATACATAAAATACTACACAGAATTTCTAACATGATGTTCTGGGATGGGTCTCCAGGTCTCCTCTCTAAGGAGCATGGGGAATGATTTCCCCTTAAGCTGATGGGGATCCTTTGCTCCGTGACCTACTTAATCCCCCCATGGACTGATCATCTTGCCTGGATATCTACCCCTTATGTTATGACCCTATCTAGGGTCACAAGAAGCTGTCTCTGGGATTGGCTGCTTTAGATCTCACCTTTTCTAATCATCATGGAGACCAGGGGAATTCTTCTCCAGTCCTTTGGAAAAAGCATCTTTTCCTGCTTTGGGTCCTGCCTGAAAATAGTCTTTCTGGTGTCATACTATGAACATCTCTCCAGCAACAGATGTTAGTGTTTTG